TTTGAGCACCAACATGACACCACAAGTGGAAAATTCCACACTTGATACCTTTGCTTTCTGATGGTTTCATGTACACAAATGTTGTTTCATGCACAAAATTGTATAAAATTACCTTCGGCTATATAAGGTGCGTATGAAACATAAATGGATTTCATGTTTAGACATGGGTCCTATCGCTAAGATATCTCACATATATGCAAATAGGCAACTCTAACATCTGAAACACTTGTGGTCCTAAGCATTTCACGTAGGGGTACTCAGCCCGTACACATAAAACTAGTGCAGTGCCTGGAGCATCGTAAGTGCTGTTTAAGTTTAAGCTGTTATCGTTGCGGTTTCAAGGCAAAAAGTGGCCATTTCAAGCACTTTGGGACTGAGCTTGTAACTCCTTACTCATTTGACTGTACCAATCTGGCTAAACCCCAATTCCACATTAACTCAGTAGTATTTTTTCATTTTCGCCCTGTGACACTGAACAGCACTGGAGAAAACTGCCACCCACAGACTGATTACACATTTCTGATCCCCAAACTCAGCCAGGGCTACTTCACCATTCAGCAGCCCTGCTTGTCCCCAGTTTCTGTCTCAGTGGACAGTGGCCTTCTCCTGTCACCTGCCTCTGCATTCCACCTCCATCTCACCTCCTCTGGAACTTTGAGCAACTGGTTATCTCATGCTCCTGAATCTTTACCCAAATTATCTGCTATTGCTGACTTTGCCTTCCTTGCCCAACTGCAGATAGATAAGGCCAGGTCTTTCTTATCTTAAAAGCAGAACAAAATTAAGCCTTTCCTGTCCCTGTATCTCCTTCTGACCCATGACCTTATCTCTCTCCTTTCCTTGGTAACCAGGCTTCTTGCACAGCTTGTCTGTACTCACTGTCTGTTTTCTTATTTTCTCCCACTCTTTCTCTCCACTCTTGATATATTTTCAACCTCCAGTGATCTGGTGTCTGCTGCCCTGCCAGCCCTTCCTAAAGCTACCAGGCAGGGGTACCTAAGGGCCACCTTTCTCTGTAGTGCTCAGCCCTGGAATGAAGTGCATCTTTGCAGTTTCTGAGGTACCCCTACTCCACACTCCTTCCCTCTTGACTCTGCTAGCTGCTTTTCAGCATGCTTTGTTTAGCCCTTTCCTTCTTCTTCTTGCTTTCTTCTTCTTCTTCTTCGTTCTTACTTCTTCTTCTTGCTTCTTCTCTTCTTCTTCTTCTTCTTTTCTTCTCCTCTTCCTCTTCCTTCCTCCTCCTTTCCTCCACATACTTACTACTCTCTTCTTCTTCTTCTTCTTCTTCTTCTTCTTCTTTCTTCTTCTTCTTTTTCTTCTTCTTCTTCTTCTCCTCCTCTGCCTTCCCCTCCTCTCCTCCTTCTCCTTTTCCTTCTCCTTCTTTTCTCCTTTTTCTTCTTTCCTTTCTTTCTTTTCTTCCTCCTTTCCTCTTCCTCTTTCCTCTTTCTTCCTCTTCCTCTTCTTCTTCTTCTTCTCTTCTCTTCTTCTTTCTTCTTCTTCTCTCTTCTTCTTCTTCTTCTTCTTTCCTCCTCCTCCTCCTCCTGCCTCCTGCCTCCCTGCCTCCTCCTCTCTCCCACTCCTCCTTCCTTCTTCTTCTTCTTCTTCTTCTTCTTCTTCTTCTTTTCTTCTTCTCCTCTTCCTCTTCTCTCTTTCTTCCTCTTTTCTTCTTCTTCCTTCTTTCTTTTCTTCTTCTTCTTCTTCTTTCTTCTTCTTCTTCTTTCTTCTTCTTCTTCTTCTTCTTCGTTTCTTCTTCTTCTTCTTCTTCTTCTTCTTCTTCTTCTTCTTCCTCCTCCTCTCCTCCCTGCTTCCTTCCTCGCTTCCTCCCTCCTTCCTCCCCTCCTTCCTTCCTTCCTCCTTCTTCTTTCTTCTTCTTTCTTCTTCCTCTTCTTCTTCCTCTCCTCCTTCTCCTCCTCCTCCTCGAGACAGAATCTCACTGTATTGTCCAGGCTGGAGTGCAGTGGCATTATCTCAGCTCACTGCAACCTCTGCCTCCCGGGTTCAAGCAATTCTCCTGTCTCAGCCTCCCGAGTAGCTGGGATTACAGGCATGCATCACCATGCCCAGTTAATTTTTGTATTTTAGTAGAGATGGGATTTCACCATGTTGGCCAGGCTGGTCCCAAACTCCTGAGCTCCGGTGACCCACCCATCTCAGCCTCCCAAAGTGCTGGAATTACAGGCATAAGCCACCAAGCCCGGCCTGCAGGCTCCTCTTCTACCTACCCCTTAAGTGTTGCAATTTCTCCTGGACTTGCCCCTGGTATTTTTTTTTTTTTTTCTGACATTCCATGATTTCAACTAAAGTTTACCTTTAGGCCAGGCATTTTTCCATTCATGCACTGTAGTCATCTACTCAGCTTGCCATAATAAAATGCAGTAGATTGGATGGCTTAAACAACATTTATTTCTGACAGTTTTGGAGACTGAGAAGTCCAAGATTAAGGTACCAGCCAATTTGGTTCCTGGTGAGGACTCTCTTCTGGCTTGCAAACAGCTGCCTTTTTGCTGTGTTCTCACAGGGTGGAAAGAGAGGGATCTCCTACATCCCTTCTTACAAGGGCATGAATCCTATCATGAGGACTGCATTCTCATGATCTAATTACCTCCCAAAAGCTCATCTCCAAATGCTATTACATTGGGAGCTAAGGCTTCCACATATGAACACCAACATTCAGTCCATAACATACCCAACAGCCTAATAGGTATCTCTACTTAACTGTTACACAGACTCTTACAATGTCAACAGGTTTAAAACTGAACTCATTCTCTTACCTGCAATCCTGCTTCTTCTGGATTTTTCCTATAGGATGCCATTCTCCACTCAGTCACCCGAATCAGATATTTTAAAACTCATCCTGCACGTATCCCCACCCCCGCCCCCACCACAGCCAAGCAAGACCTGTTATTTCTGCCCCCTAAAGATCTTCAAATCCGTCTCTTCTCCATGTTATTGCCATTGTCTTCACTGAAGCCCTCATATTTTCCACCTAGAGTATTGCTTTCTCTCATTCCTTCTGGATCTATCCTCCATACTATATCTAGAGTGAAATTTTAAAAGGATGAAAATGTTTTGGTATTACCTGCTTTCTAGTCCCTCAAGATAAGATGCTGACTCTTCCTGGTCAGGTCCCTCCCACTTGCGTTGCCTGACATGTAGTGGACTTCCTGCCTCTGTCCCTCTCTGCCCCGCCCCCGCACCTGGCCAAACCTGAGAGATTTTCTGATTCCACCTGGGCTTCTGGAGAGGCCCTGTCCAAACCTTCTGTGTCTGGGGCTTCTTAGTTCTCGTTATTAGGATCTCCAGGGATGGGAAGTAGATAAGCAGCCTTCTCCTGCAGCCTGTTCTCCTGTTTTGCTACCCTGTCACTACACTACTTCTTTTGTCAGTATTTATGGAACACTTTCTCTGTGCCAGGGAAACATTTTTAGGAAACATGGATAAGACACAGCCTGGCCTCAAGTCTATAAGGGAAGATTGATGGCCAGGCACATCCAATATCATGTGCTAAGTGCACAGAGCACTGCAGGAGCCCAGCTTCTCCTGATCACTAACGGAAATTTCACCCTGCTTTGTCCTGTACAGGCATGGAGAACCAAATGCTTAGTTCCCAGCACACCCACCTACCAACCCTCTATCTCTCAGGCTAAGCCCCCAACCATCAAGATGGTCACTTCCAGGTGCAGGGTGTGGTAGAAAGCAGGCTGCTTCCAGTGCTCCCCGCCTACTGACTGACCAAGGGGCAGAAGAGCTTCCCCTTCCCTGCCCCCATTAGCTGCAGTCAGAACCATCTTTTCTGTTAAACACCTTTGCAGCCCTCCATAGGATTGTCTCCTCAGCTCCTGGAGTAGCCAGGAAGAAAACCAAGCCCACTGTTTACTTTCTACATGCCAGGCTTATTTCCCTAGATGACTCGTGTAGGTTTGCATAGGAAAACTTGTTAGAACAATTTGTTCTACAAGGCAGGCACTCAAATGACCGAGGCCCACTTACCTGGGCTAGCTTCAGCACTGGGGCATCAGCTCTGCATCTCCTGCTTTACAGCCACCTGTTCCATTTTATAATTGGTGCGTGGTCTCTGAAAACTCATGAAAAATCTTATTTAAAGACAGCAGTAATTAACCTAATTGCAAATATAGAAAATGAAAATATTTCCTATGAAATGCCCAGGAGTTGCCAGATGTTTTTATAGAATCCCAGAAATAGGATCAAGGAAGGAAGATAAATAAGAAATAGCAGGCCTTTCATACACTAGTATGAAGCAGTATGCTGTGCCTGTGTTTAAATATTAAATAAAGGCATGGCCATTGTCTTCAGTGGAAAGGAAGAAATGTGGGAAGTGGAAAAATTGGATAAGGAAGCGTGGAAAAGCAGTCACCCCATCTCTCTCCTCCTCCCTGTGCCACTTCCTGCAGGCCTCTTCCTGGCTTCTGCTCTTGGTGAGAGGATCAGGCTCTGAGGGCTGGGAGATTGATAATGTGTTAAAATGCAGCCTCACATCTCCCTGCCTTATTCCTCAGTCATGGAACCCTACCTGTCCATCTAACTGAGCCTCTAATTCTGTCGTTGAAGAAACAGGGCCCAGAGAGTGAAGTGATTTGCTTCTTGTCCAGCAGTTCATTAGAAGCCCAACCTCCTCATTTCTGGACCCCCAGACCAGGGCTCTTTCCCTTGGCTGCTTCCATTCCTGAGCTGCAATGACATGGAGATGACCAGCATCCCTTTCTTCCAGTGTACCCTGTCAATATAGGCCTGTGTACTTGGCAAAACTTTTACATCCAGGCTGGAGGAAGTACCGCTTTTGTTTCTGGACTTTGAACAGATCCTAAGATGAGAACATCTTACTGGGCTAGAAATGCACTTTAAGGTACTTGAGTGAAAAGATGTGTGAAAGCCAGTGGCATCCCTAGGCTCGACATGCCTGAAAGCTCAAGTGTTAGGAAAGGAGGACTTTGTTCTTGGTGTTTTCATTCTCTCCCCTCCCTCCCGTGTTGTCCCTGCAGGCCGCCAGCTCACTGGAGCCGAGAGGGCCTCCACGGCCACTGCGGAGGAGACTGACATCGATGCGGTGGAGGTCCCACTCCCAGGGAATGACGTCCTGGAATTCAGCCGAGGAGTGACTGATCTAGATGCCGTAGGGAAGGAAGGAGGGTCCCACACAGGCTCCAAGGTAGGCAGGAGATGGCTCATCTGTGTGATCTGCACACGTGTGCCCTCAGGTCATCAGTCGCTTCCTAGCCCCTGCCGGCTCATCTTCCGAGTGAGACACTCCATGGCACAGTGGCGGTGCCAGAGCACGCTTCACTGCCTTTCAGAGGGTCTGACTTCCAGAGGGTCTGGACACTAGATGCTGCTGCAGGCCAGGATGCCGTGGAGCTGATTCCTGGCACACATTGCCCTCCCCAAATCCCACCAATATTTGATCTCCTACTCCCTGGCACCCTCTTCCCTTAACAGCATCTCATCTTTGCGCAGTATTTTGCAAGGCTCACTCTGGCACACACACACACACACACACACACACACACACACACACACACACAGAGACTCCCCTGTGGCTTAGCTGATAGAGCAAAGTCAGTTTGGGCCCCCTCTGCCTGTAGTAGTGGTGGTATACCTTTGGTAATTCCTGTAGATAGCACTATGGAGTCTGGAAATTGGCCCACTGAATGTTAGAAACTGAAAGACCACCTTAGTCATCATCAGCTCCAACCTAACATCATATAGGTGAGATGACTGTGGCTTCTGGGGTTTCCTAATGTGATCCAATTAAGAAACTAAGAACTTGAGACCAAATTCCAACCTGAAGCCAAACCTAATTAAAAATATTTTAAACCCAGAAGCAAAATTACTGACCAATAGCTCTACCCTTAGATTCCCAGGCAGCTCTCTTTCTTCAACATTCATGTCTTATCTCACGTGGAGGTTTGGAGGGCAGTTCGGTTCTAAATTGTCTGCCTGGGGTTTCCTTTGGAACCAGATTGTCCTCTACAAGTGGAAATAGCCCTGTGTCACTGGGGGCCTTCCTTGTGTGTGTCTGAAGAAGTCCCCACAGCAGAACTGCCTGGAACAAAATGCCTTTCCCTGCTATTGAACTCGATGAATCGTAGAAGCCATCTTGGTAAAAATGTCCACAGGAGAGGGAGACAGAAGGAAAGGAGGGAAGGACACAGGAACTTCTTTCATCTAACAGGATCTCTCCAGATCATTATGTATTTTAGGATCCAAACTTCTTTGTTGATGGTTCTCACCAGAGGCAGTGGAGGGCAGGAGGTAGCCCCCTCACTTGGCCCCTTCTTCCAGGACCCAACTCCAAACTTCTCCCAACAAGGGAGAAGGAACATCTCAGACCCTGGAGGAGGGAGCCCTAAGGACACAGCGGAGTAGAGGATTGAAGCTGTCTCCTTCCTGTTATCATGGTAGGGTGGACGGAAGCTATGTTTTTCTAAAATAGATTCTTCTAAGTCTAGAACCTCAAGGAACTCAGTGACAGGGTATCATTGAAAGTGGTGGGCAAGAGATGGAGCAGTATCAGCCATCAGTCTCGCATCATGCGGGGTCAGTTACCGAGGTGTCCCCATACAATTTTTTGACTGTGTGGTATCAGCCCAGGCAGCTACACCATTTCCTTCCTGGGCCTCTACTCCCATTTTCATTGAAGATGCAGTGCTGTCAGCTTATGGGTTGTAAATGCACCAATTTACTCCTCCCAAGTGCATGCCAAAGAGAGGGAGGCCCCTCAAGATGGCTCCTGCCACTTGTCATGTCCTGTCTTCTCCTTCCGCTCCAGGTTTCGCACCCCCAGGAGCCCGTGCTGACAGCCTCACCCAGGATGCTGCTCCCTTCTTCTTCCTCGAAGCCTCCAGGCCTGGGCACAGAGACACCGCTGTCCACTCACCACCAGATGCAACTCCTCCAGCAGCTCCTCCAGCAGCAGCAGCAGCAGACGCAAGTGGCTGTGGCCCAGGTTCTCCTCAGCCTCCTCCCTACTTCGCAGGCTCCACTCTCATGGGCTTGATGCACCTTCCCTAGCGAGGGGCTCAGGACAGGTTTAAAATCTAGGGAGTCATAAGGAATTGCTCATGCTATTGAATCATTGCTTGTTGGGGAGCGGGAGCGGGATAGATGGGGGATGCAGTTGAAATGGAGAGGCACATTTTGGTTTCCCATGTATCCCCTGCTCTGAGCTGGGCTTGGCTGGCTTGGCTGAATGTTGTTAATGACTTGAACTGACCAAGGGAAAAGATGCACACAATTCCACCCTTCCTTTCCTGCCTTATTTTCCTGATGTTTGGGGCGGGAAAGTGATGCCTTTGGAGTCAGAACAGTTGTGGCTTTATGATACCACTCTTAAAACAGCTGAAAGTATGAATTTGTGTCAAACACCGTTGTAAAAAGACTACTACCCCTAGCATCCCAGTCTCCATGTCTATAATAAGTTTCCCAGTCTCCATTATGATCTACTTATTCCAGGCAGTATTTGATTGGAATTCATTATTGTAGGATTTAACTTACAGGAATTTAGGGATATTATTTGAGCCGTAATGAAAAGAATTGACTTAAATCTCAGAATCAAGGTGGTGTTTGTGCCCCAAAAAACTTGTTGGGCTGCTGCTACATTGTAGGGGAGGGTAAGCTGATTTCCCTTGCTGCTTTCAGCAGGGATTCCTCCTGTTTGCTTTCTATAGAGGGCGCTGTAGTCCACATCTTCCTTGGGACTTAGGAGTCTGAGCTTCCTCTCTACCACGGTCACTCAGGGAATGGTGAAGACATTCATTCATACCCAAGGCTGAATCCTGAGGCGAGAGCCAGGGTCAGGGCCTGATGAGTACATGAAGATCTTAGGAGAGGGGGCAGTTGGGGCTTGAGAGAATTGGTAAAGGATCTGGAAAGGCAGCCTGCATCAACATTCTAAATTTGCTTGACCAGACTGTTGACCACTTAGGTTTTCTGCATTCTAGAATGGCGGGGAGCAGACTTCTCCAGGGAGCACTTATTGCTCTCTGTTATGTCTTCTGCTTACTCTTGTCCTGGCTCTTGAGTGGACTGAATCATTCAGACAGAGATATCCTTTCCACCTTTCCACCTTGAGGAGGCACGCGGCGACCTGGCCATGACAGGATCTGCTATGACTCAGGGTTTGAAGAAGACCTACTTGTAACACGGTCTCCTGACCTGGGCCTGAGGTGCGAGGCTCATGGATGACTTTTACATCCAGGTTTCAGGAGAGTAGAGTCAATGGGACACAGCTCTCAAGTTATTGGAGTCTTTTTAAAAAGTCTTACCATGAAACAGAAGGATATCTTGTGATGCTAGGAGGATTTGCAGGTGTTCAAAACAGCAAGAGAGAGGGGGAATGTCATTAATGGCTTCTTATATTTGGAGAAAAAAATCATTTCTCTTTGTCAAATAAAAGAATCCATCTCCTATCATTATTGATGGCATGGCAGTCTGAGAATCCTCTCCCTAGCGTGATGGCTGACAGGAGCACAAAGACTAAGCACTCCAGCACGGGTCCATTCTCAGACTCATTTCATTTCCACAAGTTTCCCATTGAATACAGATCATAATACTTTTATTTTGTAGCGTATCAATTACCAAGTAATTATTATTTATGTAGGAGTGGGCTTGATACATATTCATGATATGATTTTATCAAGGAGGCATTTGAATTTGAAGTCACTGCCGAGTACTAGAGAGAAACTATTTGCAAATGTGTAATCCACACAAGAGTGTTGTGGTGGTGGAAGGAAGCATTCAGTCTACAAAGCAACAAGACATGTAGCTTATCACAGGTCTACCACAGTCAGGATGAAACCCTAAGAGTGGTTTTCTGGTATAGAATCAAGTGTCAGTCTCCATGGGAAATCCTGCCCTGGCCCTGTTTTAATTGCGTCTCTCCTAAAAGACAATGAATCTAGGGGAAGGAAACAGTGTAGTATTAGGGATTTGCTTCCTGAGCCTCTCTCAGTTCTAGACATGTCCGCAGGCTGAGCACCCTTAGCCTCTCACTCACTTGGAATCTGTTGAATATAGTTGCCCTGCTTGACTCTCTGTACAAGCAGTGTGGTGATCAAAAGGCCACTATAGTGCGTCTGTGTCCCACAGTGGTGAGATGACTTTAGGGAGAGTCTTAGGCTACCAAAATCGTCGGATAGGACAGGACCTTGGGGTCATCTGATAGGTTCTTGAACATACTCTTGTACCTCTGTCTGCCATGCCTATCTGTCTCTGACTACCTTCTTTCTGTTCGCATCTTGCTTTTGCTGTCCAGGAGCACAGCAGGGATATTGTACCTTTCAGCTGGCTTTCAGCTCCCCTGTCCTGCAGACGGATTTGGTCCTAAACTGACCGTCAGTTAGAGGTTTCTCTTCACACTGCTCTTTCTTCCACTTTCTTTGTAGTGTTTAATCCAAGGGCTTTTTATTAGTGTCTATATCCTTGGGTAAAAGCAATTATGTAAGATGTAGCTGGACTAATAGGTGTCTTGGTGTCTTTCACACATTTGAAATAGACCAAGTATAGCAAGCTTGGTTTCTCTGCACCGGTGGGGCTGATTTCAGTTTCCAGCATGAGGTCAGCTCTTACTTGTTCTGTCAAACTCTGTTGCCACCAAACTGCAAGGCTTCTGTCTGTCTTTATTAAACTACCAGCAGTCCCCAGAATTCCAATGAGTAAAACTGTGACCTCAGCCTTTCAGGTGGGAATAGTTTTCTCAGAGAGCATCCAAATCCTCCTGTGTTGTTCCTGGGTAAAAATCTCAGGATAAAGACAGTTTCTTGCAGACAAATGTACCCTTGAGGTCACTTGTTGCACTATTTATGTTCCCCCACCCCCACCTCCCATTTCTTTCCACAGGCCAGTCTAGTTCTGCTGTTGCCATGGGGACCAGGCTTAGGTCTCCTTCACAGTGTCCTGATTTGGTTTAAGACCGCAAGACCTCTCCCAGCCTCACCCTAAATTAGTTCTGAGCTGGTCTCGAAGGGGCCCGCCCTGACCTTAAAGGTATATGGGCAAAGGTGGTATTCAGCTGACTCTTAAGTATTTCCAGGTTAGACCTCAGTGTGTAAATAGTGAATACCCAAGTCCCTCTGACCACTCTTCCAACCCAGCATGAGGCTTGCCTGGCTGCACTAGCTTCCTGCTTTTAGGTGGACCAGAAGTTCAAGGGTGTGAATGAGAGTATAGCTAAGCCTCAAATCGAAGCTGGGATGTAGCTGGCACCTGCATGGCCGTGGGCTGGGCCGACATAGTCTCAGAACTGATCTGGGCACTGTGGCTGATCGGCAAGAGTTAAGTAGGCCAGGTCTGTTCACAGTTTGCCAATTCCCAGCCTTGTTCATGAGGAAAGGGTTAGTACAGTTCAGTATTGCTATTTAAAGATTTCTCCTCTACCTGCTGCCACATCCGCTTGTTCAGGAACAAGGAATTGGTTATTTATGCTTCGCAATCATGTATGCTGTAGTTAGAGGAACAGTGCTAACAAAACTCCGCATCCCCACCCGAGGCCCTCTATTTAGCATCTGTCCCTGTGGCTTCTCCCAGTCCCCAGAACCCTGGTGTGCACTGCCCAAGTCCCTGCCATGTGCATGCTGAGACAGCGGCACCTGCCTCTGCTTCTGTGTCCAGTGTGTGGGGGGGGGCAAATTGCTCTGGTTCTCTCCACTGCCATTTCCATGTGCTTGCTACTCCCTAACTTCAGCCTGGCCCTGCCCTCACTTCTGATGGAGGAGCTGGAGTCCAGGCAAGTAAGCTGGAGAGTGAGGGGGCCAATGGTCTGGTGTGGCTGGGTGGGTTGAGGGTGGGTTTCAGAGTCTGGGGAAGCAGTGTAGAGCTGGAGGGTGCAGGGCTGAACTTTTGTGTGTCATCATGAGGCCAGAGTGCAGAGCTGGACATCTGAGCCCTGGCACTCCAGGCATGGTCTTAGTGTCACATCACTCTGTGCCACATCACTAACTTAGTATGTAAGTACAACATTCATTGCCAAAGACAACACACTTCTGCAAAGGAGACACTAATTTGTACCTTTCCAGAAAGAAATATGGTCTACTTTTATGAAAGGGGTTTAATTCTTTGAAAGAAAAGCGTGCTAAATCCAAAAAATATCCCATCTGGTGGGGAGGAGGTGGTGGTCTCTGCCCCTGTTGTATGAATGGGGAAACAAAGCACAGAGGGCTGTAGCAGACTGCCCAAACCAAGGCTTCACATAACGCTGCCTCATTTCAGTGCTTCAAGTTCAAGCCTACATAGTTATAAAACACTGCGCCTCAAAGTTAAAAGAAGTCCAGGCCATTTTGTCTCAGTGTGGCCTGATTTGGGCTCTCCTGCAGCACAGCCTGCCACAGCATGGGGTTTGAGCCTTATGCCCAGTACCACTTTTGACAGCTGCAGAAGCAGAGGGCTCATTAGTGCTGGCTCAAGCAGTGGCAGCAGCGAGTGCTCACATAGTCGCAGGGCTTGAAAATACCTGAAATAGTATAACTGGTTTTACAGAGGTAAAACGCCCATTTAATCTGGTACAAGGAGCATTTTCTCATGGCACTTAGTGCCAGTGGATCTGCGATGGGAAGCAATTAATTCAAGGGTCTTCTTTTAGGTATTGCTGGTACTCCACCATTGGTACTTGGGTACCTGCAAAACAAGCTTTCAAGTTTTTTCCTGGCTTCTGTAAGAGGGGACTCTTCCTTCACCCTCAATTCTAATTCTCTGACTTCACAGTGGGGAACTGAGCCATTAACAAATTCCCTCTAGTACTGACCACGATGTCAACCTGGATGTGGAATTATCAACTGTCTGATCCTCAAGTCAGTCCTATTGGTTGACAGATGGAGAAACTGAGGTCTGGAGAGGAGTGAGTTATCTACAGTTGCCTTGGGAGTACCCAACAGACAAGCACTCCAGCTCCTGGTCTGGTGCATTTGAATGGCCTGTCCTGTTGGGATGTTCAGATTGGGAAGCAGGAAACTGACTCTGGGCTGGGTGCAGTGGCTCACACCTGTAATCCCAGCACTTTGGGAGGCCAAGGCAGGTGGATCACTTGAGGTCAGGAGTTCAAGACCAGCCCAGCCAACATGGGGAAACCCCGTCTCTACTAAAAATACAAAAATTAGCCAGGTGTGGTGGCAGGCACTGGTAATTCCAGCTATTTGGGAGGATGAGGCAGGAGAATTGCTTGAACCCAGGAGGCAGAGGTTGCAGTGAGCTGAGATCGCACCACTGCACTCCAGCCTGTGTGACAGAGTGAGTCTCAAAAAAAAAAAAAAAAAAAAAAGAAGGAAAGAAAGAAAAGAAACTGACACTGCAGTATGTGTGCAGAGAGCCCTCAATAAGTGCCAGTTAGAGATATGCAGGATTCTCTACTTTCTTTGTTTATAATCACCAAAAAACTTTGTTCCACATTTCTTTCTGTTTGGTTTGGTTCCAAAGAAAATGGAAGATGAATAATTTAGTAATTTTATTTGCTCAGTAGGTTCCTTTCGATGACATTCTTTGTTGGGATAAGTAACGGTACTCGTAAGTGCAAGATTAAGCTTACCCTTCTCTGAGGCTTATCTGTGGGCTTCCCACAGCAGTTGTCCTGTTCCTTAGAACCAAATAGATTTGGGGGATCCCAAGCTGAAATTTCTCCATGCCTCCCTTTCCAAGGAGGAGAAAACCTTAATAGCCACCCATCGTCTGACATCCAGATTAAAATATTATTGACACTTCTTTCCCTGTTGAGTGGATATAGGAAGAAACAAACTCAGTTTCTTCCTGCTATACTGTCACAACATACTTCTATGACCAAATGTATGGGACTTCTTCCCACACACCAAGCAAGCAAGCAGTTCTGCAGAGGACACGCAGTGTCCTCCAACTCAGTTTGATTCTGATACTATCGACCTGGAAACAGCATCAGATCCTACAGTTTGAGGGCTCAATCCTGCAAGACTTTCCCCCATTTCAGACACCAATTACAAGTTATAGTTTGTCACCTACACCTCTGACCAATTGGCTATAAATTGGTGTTCCCTCTATCCTCTTCTTGGACTCAACTGATTTGCTAGAGCAACTCACAGAACTCAGGGAAACACCTACATTTACTGGTTTACTTTAAAGGATATTATAAGGGATACCAATGAACACCAGATGGAAGACATGCATAGAAGGGCAGCTAGAGCTCCCATGCCCTCCCCAGGTGCACCACCCTCCAGGAACCTCCAAATGTTCAACCTGGCAGCTCCCCCAATCCAGTCCTTCTGAGTTTTTAATGGAGGCTTTATTATGTAGGCATGATTGATTACATCACTGGCCACTGATGATTAGTTTAACTTTTAGCCCCTCCCCTCCTGGAGGTTAGAGCGTGGGACTGAAAAGTCCCAACCCTCTAATCATACCTTGGTCTTTCCTGTGACCAGCCCCCATCCTGAAGCTTCCAGGGGTTCCCCAACCACTAATCATCTAATAAGCATACAAAAAACTTTCTTACCACTCTGGATATCTCAAAGTTTGGGGAGCTATATGTCAGGAAACAGGGATGAAGACCAAACATGTATTTCACTGTATCACACCTGTTCTCACCCCTCCCCAGATCTTTTCGCAATTAATATGAGACAAAAAAATGAGTCTGACTTCTAGACCAAAATGTCTTCTGTCCTTAGCAGCTTTATGGAGGACAGATTTACTTTAAATTCCTTAGGCATTATGCCCCTATGGCTCCACTCAATTAGAAACAGGGTCAATGGCAAGGTCAGGGCCTCCAATCTGGGCAAGAGGGAGGCAGCCACTGTATCCACAAGTGTAATTCTCTGAGTGCTGGTTGCTGGGAGGGGCATGCCCTGGGCCAGCAGGTCACTTGGCCAGGGGTGGCCAACTGTGAGGTTAGTACTGCCCTTTACTCCCTAAAAAAAATGTGAATCTCTTCAGGGCAAACTCCTCTTCAGAAATTTGAGCATTTGTTTTCTGAGCAAGAGAATCAGCTAATGCTTTCGACTCCCCATCCATCTTCCTGCATCCTCGTCACACCTCTCCTGCCCCCAGTCACCTGGCTCTGTCTTTACCCACACCATGGTTTTGGTACAAGAACACCCTTTTCCCCATAAGCTACATTGATTCAGGCCATAAAAATTCATTAGTTCCCTTTCTTCGGGAGCTTTCTGAAACCCTCCCTGGAGAACCCTTTATTCACTTCTTTGCACAAGAATCACATATGTGTGAACACTAGTATTGGCCTTCTAACTCAGTTTCTTCAAACCAGGGTCCTGGTCTGGTTGCCCCTGTCTCCTCCCACTGAGTTTCATCTCCACATAAGGATTGCTCACCAAGAACAGAGATGTTGACACCACTGGGCCTCAAGCATGCTGAATGCATCACTGCTGGCTGCTCTGCCATGAGAACGTTGGAAATTGATGAGGGTGCCACAAACTGTTCACCTCAGCCCTTCTGGGCTGGTTGGAGGAGGCCCTCTCATGAGTCAGTCAGCAAATGTTTAACCCCTACCAGGTGGTCCTGGTGGTATGTGGTATGAATCATGGTCCTAGATGTCTGCCATGGCAAATAAAAAGGGAAGACAGGGAAAGAAGCTGCCACCTACAGAGTGGCTAGATGACAGCTGCATCACTAATTTAAAAAGCCATGTGTAGTGCTTCCTATTTCTCACTACTTTTGGGTGAGTGGGGGAGGGAGAAAGATTATATGGGCTTCGTTGTGACACTGTTCTTAGCCAGTGGGTCAATAGATCAGTTTTGGTTTTGTTTTTTAGAAGACGGGATGAGAAAAGAGTGTGCCCCCTTCCACCTCCAACGTGGCATATGCCACACTAGGTGCTGAAGGAGTTCTCTAAGCAGGGATGGAGCACTGTGCGTGTGTGTGTGTGTGTATGTGTGTATGTGGTGGGGGCTGGGGGTCGATGGCTCTTTCCTGCTTCTTGCTCTTGGTATGGGGCCCAGAGTGGTACCTTAGTGATACATCATGGCCCTCCCTTGGGACACACAGCTTCACAGGGTCAGTGAACCCACTCCTTTCGGCTCCTCCTCTGGAATGATAAGCCCAGATGCCCATTCTGCCCATGAAGGGCTTCTTCTTGAACTGAATGTGGAGGGCATCTCTGGTCCCGGCTGTCTGCCAGCGACTCTCATGTGCATTCATGTCCCTCTCTTCTCTCTGTCCTGTCTTCTCTGCTGCTGCCTCTTTTCTGCAGGTACACTTGCTGAAGGACCAGTTGGCTGCTGAGGCTGCGGCGCGGCTGGAGGCCCAGGCTCGCGTGCACCAGCTTTTGCTGCAGAACAAGGACATGCTCCAGCACATCTCCCTGCTGGTCAAGCAGGTGCAAGAGCTGGAGCTGAAGCTGTCAGGACAGAACGCCAGTAAGCCAGTGCCCTCCCCAGCCCCGCTTCCTCTGTGAAGGCTCTGGAAAGAGTGTTACTTTCCTCAAGTTTTTGGTGGTGCTTTCTTGGACCCCTGACCTGCCCCTATATTCCAGCAGAAAACATAGGCAGCTTTGTTTCCCCATTAGTATACTTAATGAATTACAGAATCGCATGCCCAAAGGAGATCTCGGGTGCCTTCTAATCCAGGCCCAGGGCTGGACTTTGAATGTCCCCGGAGTCACTGCTATGTGCTCATTCAGTCTCTATTTGATAGGGGCTCAGGTACTCTATGTCCTAGGGCAGCCCATTTCTTTCTCAGAGAGCTTTTGCAACCACCATACAGTATACTCGGCACCTATTGGGTGTCATGGTCTCTGTGAGCTCTGTGGGAGACAGCAAATTGTTTCTTAGTTTACTATTCTGCACTATGTATTTCAAAACTCTGTCACATAGAAAAAGCTGGGAGCAGTATATCTGTTCAGTGGATAAGGCAGTGGAATCACTGGCTGCACAGCTTTGCTGGACAATGGCAGAGGTTGCCTGGCCCCTACTTGAGAGGCTTTCTCTAAGCTTAGCACCCCCAGACTGGACTGGACAGCTGTAGATTGCAACACATTTTCACGCCTTCCTCTTGAGCCTTTCTGTGGGTTGTATGCATGCTCAGAGTGTATGTGGGCTGTGGACCAGCAAATACCCATTGACCACACATTGTGACAGAAACTGATAGAATTTTTTGCATGTGAGATCATTTAATCCCTGTAGTTCGGCTGCAGAAAAATGGGATGCCATTTTACAGATGAGGTAACAGATTCAGGGAGGTTAAGTAATTAGCTCAAGGTTACAGGCCTAGCAAGGAGCAGAGTCTAGATTCAAACCTAGATCTGATTGCAAAACTTTGTTCCAGCTATACCAGTGGTTCCCCCAAACTATCCCGTGAGCTCTTTTAAAAATACATCTTACTGGGTCCAACCTACAGAGATCCTACATCATTGGGTCTGGGGCTGGTCTGGGAGCCTGTATTTTTAAAGTAACCCAGAGGTATGGATTGGAAACCTTCACCACTCTGGAAGCCTCTCTGGATTTTCCAGATTATTCATTGAAACTCTGCTCTATCCTAATTAATGCTTATTTATGTGATTATACTAAAGGTTACCACAGGCTTCTAACATGGTTCTCTCAATTGGTACCTTTTTCCTACCACTAACACTATTCAGAGCCTTTAGTGGCTTCCAGAACCATCATATGGTTCTCATGTCCCCGCCTTTACCACCTCCCAAAGCTCCTCCCCTCCAGCGAGGTGTGTCTGGAGCTATGTGGGGGCGCCAGGAAGGGGTGAAGAGTTAAGAGATCCAAAGCCCGGGAAGGTGCTGCTAAGCTGGTCTGGGAAGGGCTTTTGCAGGGCATCGGCGGGCAGAAGGCAGGCATCCCAAATCAGAAGGCGGGCATCCCAAATCAGCAACCTTGCCTAACGCTGCCCCTCTGCTACCTTTTGTCTCCCCTGCAGTGGGCTCCCAGGACAGCTTGCTGGAGATCACCTTCCGCTCTGGAGCCCTGCCCGTGCTCTGTGACCCCACGACCCCTAAGCCGGAGGACCTGCATTCACCGCCGCTGGGCGCGGGCTTGGCTGACTTTGCCCACCCTGCGGGCAGCCCCTTAGGTAGGCGCGACTGCTTGGTGAAGCTGGAGTGCTTTCGCTTTCTCCCGCCCGAGGACACCCCGCCCCCAGCACAGGGCGAGGCGCTCCTGGGCGGTCTGGAGCTCATCAAGTTCCGAGAGTCAGGCATCGCCTCGGAGTACGAGTCCAACACGGACGAGAGCGAGGAGCGCGACTCGTGGTCCCAGGAGGAGCTGCCGCGCCTGCTGAATGTCCTGCAGAGGCAGGAGCTGGGCGACGGCCTGGATGATGAGATCGCCGTGTAGGTGCCGAGGGCGAGGAGATGGAGGCGGCGGCGTGGCTGGAGGGGCCGTGTCTGGCTGCTGCCCGGGTAGGGGATGCCCAGTGAATGCGCGCTGCCGAGGAAAATGCCAGCCAGGGCCCGGGAGAGTGTGAGGTTTCAGGAAAGGATTGAGATTCTGCTTTGGAGGGTAAAGTGGGGAAGAAATCGGATTCCCAGAGGTGAATCAGCTCCTCTCCTACTTGTGACTAGAGGGTGATGGAGGTAGGGCCTTCCAGAGCCCATGGCTTCAGGAAAGGGTCTCTCTCCAGGACTGCCAGGCTGCTGGAGGACCTGCCCCTACCTGCTGCATTGTCAGGCTCCCACGCTTTGTCCGTGATGCCCCCGTACCCCCTCACTCTCCCCATCTCCATGGTCCCGACCATGAAGGGAAGCCATCCGTACCTTCTCAGGTACTTTGTTTCGGATATCAGGATGCTATGAGTTGCCTAACCCTCCCCCTACCTTTATGAGAGGAATTCCTTCTCCAGGCCCTTGCTGAGATTGTGGAGATTGAGTGATCTGGGCTACAAAAGCCAGGCTAGTCCTTGTAGTGTGAGCATGGAATTGGAATGTGTCACAGTGGATAATCTTTTAGAGGAACTGAATCCAAACGTTTTCTCCAGCCGGACATTGAATGTTGCTTCAAAAGGAGCCTTGAAGCTTTAACATGGTTCAGGCCCTTGGTGTGAGAGCCCAGGGGGAGGACAGCTTGTTTGCTGCTCCAGGTCACTTAGATCTGATTCTTGTTTTGAAAGCCCTGCCCTGCCCACCTCCTGCTTGTAGCCCAGCCCATCTAAATGGAAGCTGAGAAGTGCCCCTCACCTCCCCTGTGTCCTGTCCAGCTAAAGCTTTTGCAGCACTTTACCTCTCTGAAAGCCCCAGAGGACCAGAGTCCCCAGCCTTACCTCTCAACCTGTCCCCTCCACTGGGTAGTGGTGGTCAGTTTTTACTGCAAAAAAAAAAAAAAGAAAAGAAAAAAGAGAAAGAAAAAAAAAGTGAATGCAGGCTGATAGCTGAGACTGTGAGACTGTTTTTGTCCACTTTTCTGAATCACTGCCACTTGGGTCAGGGACTGCAGCCATTGCCACCCTTGGCCCATCTCTCTGGGTGCGTGCCTTGAGCACACCTGTAAAAAGTGCCATGTGCAATTGTCTTATCTTTTATGATCTAGGCTTTGCCTAGGGATCACCACTCCTTAATGGGCTGACTGGGGCAATGAGGGAAAGCTCCTTTGCTCCTGTAAGGCCGTAAGTGGCTGTTAACAGATTTTCAAATGCCTGAAGAGATTGCTGAGACCTGCTAGAGTCATATGTTTGGGGAATTAAGTCTTCATCCTAGACAACAAGCTACAGATGCAAACTGCAGTATTTTTGGAGGGTCAATCGGCAAGGATATGATTGTCCCAAAATGGAGTTCATCGATCCTAGCTTTGCTTTAGAATGTATATAAATAAAAGTGCAGTCCTCTTCTAATGGCCACAGTTGGTTTAGCCCAGAAAGTCCAAATTAAAGGAAATAAATTCAGTTTTATGTTAGCCTTCCTTGGTGCATCAGGGTGCCAGTGGAAATAGGATGGGGTGAGATGTGTGTGTGTTTTGTGTGTGTGTGTACAGATGTGTTTATATATACATGTGTGAGGGAAGGTGTGTACCTATATGTAGGATTGTGACCAGACAGAAAAGAGTGGGAATCTCCAGGGTGTTTGAATCAGCAACAGATTTGTGTTTTCTAACATGCATTTAGTTGGAGAGGCATGGTTCTGTTTGTTTTGTTTTGATCTAATTTGCCATTGGAAATAGGTACAGGTACACAGAGAAGGAAGAACTAGAAAAGTGAAATCCATGAAACTAAATGAGCAGCTGTCAGGAATCCAGTGTGACTGAGCCTACCTAGCTTATTAAATCTAACCCAGGGTTCCTTGAGTCCAAGACCGCTTCGATTATTAAGATTTTGAATGTTCAGAGGGGTGAAAAGTCTGTTTTCTGGACGTAAGCAGGAGCTGAGGATAAAGCCAGAGGCCAGTGGATTAGGTGTGTGGAATGTGGATGGAGAGGGCTTGTGTGGGATGTGGCCAGGGAGCAAGTGAGGAAGGCCATTTCTAAATGGTCTGTAAAAACTTAAAGATTGGATAGACAAAAGGAAATGGAGAGATTAAAGAATTGGGGAAACTAGTTATCTGTGTTGCTGACTTTGGGACCCATCCAAGACTCTTGCCCTTGGGGTGTTCCATGGTGGTTTCTTCCTGCCTGGGCCCCACCCTTTCCCCAGTTCAGGCCCTCCCTGAAGGACTAGTTTGTATATTGGCATCCTCCCTAGTGGGACCCAAACCAGTGCACACTTGGTGTGTGGAGATGGGAGACAAAGGACAGATCTAGGAGCCTTGAAGGATCACCAGCCACCAACCCTCCATCAGGGCCAACTGGGCAGGAAAGGGAACATTGCAGACCTGATTTCCCAACGATGTCACCCTGTCCTCCCTCCTTGCTTCTTGCTCTGCTAACTCAACTCTGCCTTCCTCTTTTTCATTCTTCTACTCTGCCCTATATGGAGGACAAATGGACACCAGGGGTGCTGACCTTATTGGTGCCTGCCCCAGCCTGCCCCAGGTGCCAGCAGGCTCTCGTGCACAGGAGTCTCCCACAGTTATGGAGCCAGGAAAGAATTTCTCCACACTGGATGGACTGTATATTGGGATTAAAAATTATATTCCTTATATTCCTGCTTATATCAATGCTCTCTCTGTAAAACCTCTTCCTAGCCTCATTTCTCTCAATGGATCTTGTTTAGGAGTTGTATTCCTTTTATTTACTCTTTGCTTGACTGCTTCCTCCTAACCCTCTACCTGCTAGCCCTCTACTTCCTAAAGCTGTGTGTCATTAACTCTGTTGGATCAACTCTCTGGGAAAAGATTCTGTTAATGTAAGTGCACTTACTCCCTGGATGTTGTCACTAGTCTAGTGGCTTTTGCTAAATAAATCTTTCTTATTTCTAAAAGCTTTTCCATTGTATTTTCTTGCTGCTTCTATTCTACCTGCTCCTTCTCTCCCCCTCACTTCCACCCCACTTCCCAAGCCAAGTGGCATCAGCTCTGTGACATGGTTCCCAAAGGTATGGGATTGAGGAAGGATTCACAAGTTCCCTGTAGGAGGAGAGGAAGATGGTGGCTTCATTTGCACTTTATATAGATCAGCCCTGCGGGATCAGAGGATCAGTGGTTCTTAACTAGGGATGATTTTGCCTCACCAGGGGACATCTGACAATGTCTAGAAATGTTTTTCGTTGTCACAAAGCTACTGGCATGTAGTGAGTGAAGCCAGGGATGCTGATCAATATCCTACAATGCACAGGACAGCCCCCCACAACAAAGAATCATCCAGCCCCAAATGTTAGTAGTCCTGAGTTTGGGAAACTCTCATCTACACCCATTTTTGCTGACTCTGCCAATCCCAGGTTTTTTCAAACTCCAAATATCATTAGAATATGTGGGTAGTAGCAACCAGTTTGTTTTTTGATTTTGAGTTTTGGGGCTTTTTGTTTTTTGGGTTTTTTTTTTAAGGCAGGGTCTCACTGTCGCCCAGGCTGAAGTGCATGATCATGGCTCACTGCAGCCCTGACCTCCCTGGGCTCTGCAATCCTCCCACTTCAGTCTCCCAAGTAGCTGGGACTACAGGTGTATGCCACCACACCCAGCTAATTTTTGTATTTTTTGTAGAGACGGGATTTCACCATGTTGTCCAGGCTGGTCTCAAACTCTTGAGCTCAAGCGATTCTCCCGCCTTGGCCTCCCAAAGTGCTGGGATTGCAGGCATGAGCCACCACGCCTGGCCAGCATCAAGTTCTGAGTGCTTGAAAAATTACTACATCATAGATATTTGCCAATATAACTATAATTTTATAATCAAGATTATACAGCTCATGCCTGTGATCCCAGCACTTTGGGAGGCCGAGGCAGGTGTATTGCTTGTGCTCAGGAGTTTGAACCAACCTGGGCAACATGGGGAAAGACCGTTTCTACAAAAAAAGCATAACAATTGGCCAGGCATGGTGGTGAGTGGCTGTGGTCCAAGCTACTTGGGAGGCTGAGGTGGGAGGATGGCTTCAGCCTGGGAGGCGGAGGTTGCAATGAACCGAGATCACGCCACTGCACACTCCAGCCTGGGTGATAGAGCGAGACCCTGTCTCAAGGAGAAAAAAAAAAAAAAAGGTTAAACTATTTCACTGACTTCATGACTAAATGCCTGAAATATGTAGTTGGTAGAAGTCTGAATAGGCCTATTCTAGAAATGTTCATACTGGGGACAAAACAGGCTCCTCCTCATACCTACCTCAGGGGGGATCATGGTATCACTGAACACAGCTCAGCACGGAAGTCCTGACTCATGGGAATGTAGGCTTCCCTGCAAGGAGTACAAATGAAAGGGCAGAGGAGGTTGGTAAAGGAGGGAGAGTTTGAGGAATTAGGAGCTGTGGATCTCACAGAACAAAGAGAAGCCAGGTCACTTTGGCTGGAACTTTTAGCCATTTTGCAGGCAGAGGACGTGTTAAGCCTGATGCTTCGTCAGGCCCAGGCTAGAGAGAAAGTTGGAAAGGTTAGATCAACTGGGTTCACATGCCCGCTGTTCTTTTCTGGCTAAGTGAACTGAACTGAGCTTTGTATTCTCATCTCGAAAATGGGGATAGTATAAACCACAAAAAGCTACTCTGGAGAGTAAATGAGATTGCATTTTAAAAGCACCTGGTAGAGAGTGCCTGGCAGTGACCCAGGATAAGGGAGCTTTCTTCTACCTGCACCTGTGCTGCTCAGTACGGTACTGGGTGCTTTTTCCTGCTCTGCTAAAACTTAGCTCTGTACTGAGAAAATTCCTGGGGTTACATTGATACAACATTAAATGTGGAATGTGGAAAACGCCTTGTCTTTAGGGAGAAGATACTAACCACAAGCACCTGGCAGGCAGGATGGGCACGTGCCGTGGCACCTGGGCTCAGTCTCTGGCCTGCTTGTTTTCCTTCTCGTGATGTGTTCTATACCTGTTGTACAGATGCCATAGAGAAGGGAGCATGGGGTTGGCAAAGGACAGGAGACAACACTAGCTCAGAATGAGGACTAAAAAGATTGCCCAGAGCCACTCATCTGCCCTTTCAGGGCACAGGGTCCTGGGAGTGATGTCAGGGCTGCCTGGAGACCCCCGCACACTGGACGGGACAGGTTGTGACCTTGTCCTGGCTCCCAGCCCAGTTGGAGCCTGGCAGCCAAGTGGACTCTGGGATGCAGGCTGGGTGGGGTTGGGGATAGAATGGGGTGAGAAGCATGGCTCGAGGGCACAGGGCGGGAGTGGTCTCACAGCATATGATGTGATAGGGATTGAGCCCAGCCTCCCTCCCACTCTGTGGGGAATGAGAGAACCACAAATGAGATTTTCGCAGCACACTGATAAGCAGAGCAGCTCTGCTAAGCCATAGGTAAGACTCTGGAGGAAGAGCCATTGGGAGGTGAGGCAGGACCCTCCAGGCCACCTGCTGGCCAAGCCCTGGGGGAGGCAAAGACCAGGGGAGGGTTTGTGCCGGGGTCCCTGCAAGGCAGTGCCCACTGCAGTGGAGGGGCCACTGAGTCATCAGGGAGGTGAAGCAAGAGGTAAATGAGGCCTGAAAGGATGACCAGCAAGCATTTGGTGCTTTTTAAGAATCATGTTACAGTCAAGATAGATGTCCTTGCTGCATCCCTGATGCTTATCCGTCTTTCTGGGTCAGATGGACCGGGAGGTTCACTCAGAAATGGAGGAAGAGTCAGGGCTGCCTGCTGGGCACATTACTTGGTAACAGGAAGCAATAGGTTCCCATGTTTACCTGCCCATTTTCACCTGGCTCAAAGCAGCCATGAAAAGATGTCTCCTGGCCGGGCACGGTGGCTCAAGCCTGTAATCCCAGCACTTTGGGAGGCCGAGGCGGGTGGATCACGAGGTCAGGAGATCGAGACCATCCTGGCTAACATGGTGAAACCCCGTCTCTACTAAAAATACAAAAAACTAGCCGGGCGTGGTGGCGGGCGCCTGTAGTCCCAGCTACTCGGAGGCTGAGGCGGGAGAATGGCGTGAACCCGGGCGACACAGCGAGACTCCGTCTCAAAAAAAAAAAAAAAAAAAAAAGAAAAGATGTCTCCTGGGTCAAAACTGATTCTATTCTGCGCCAGCACAAGATGGCTGTTCTAAGTGAATGATGGTGGCACATGTGAGCTCAGCCCTGGGTGAGCTCAGTCTCATCTGCCTCTGACCTGGCTTATACTCAGAGGCATATTGTCCTCCACATTCCCCTCCTCAGAAGATCTACCATCAAAGAAGCCTTTAAAACTGCAGAGATTCTTCCCCATGCAAATAGGAAAGGGCATCCAGCTCCTTATTCCCAGGGTGGGGCAAGGACTGAACACACAGGGACCAAGCAGAGGCCAGGATCCTAGAGCAGTGCTTCTCATAGCTGAACTGCATCAGAGTCACCTGGAGGGCTGGTTAGAATACAGACCACCAGCCCCAGCCCCATGGTTTCTGATTCAGCAGGTCTGAGGAGGGCCTGAGAGTTCCCAGGGGATGCTGGTACTGCCGGCTGGGCACCTTACTTTGAGAACCTCTGCCTTAGAGGATATTCCCAAACTTCAGGTATTGTCTTTATTTTTAAAAGAGAGAAAGGGGAGAGTGTGTGCCTGGTGTTGCTAGGCAACCATTAGCCAAAGGGGATGGGAGCCGGGTTCTGGGAAGGACAGCAGGCTATACGGGGTGACCTCAGACTGGACAGAAGGCTGTGACTAACTTTATTGGCATCTCTCTAGAGACATAAGTAGGCTTTACCGCCAATTTACCTAAGGTGTTCAGCAGGACTATTGAAGGCCTGGCAGCTGCCCGAGGAGAGCCTGTCTCCGAGCCAGGCCTTCTGCTCCTTACTCCAGAGGGCTTTGAGCTTCCGGTAGTACACCTTGCAGCTGAAGCCCTCCCTGAAGCCTCTCTTGATGTGGCTCTTAAGGAAGTCCAGGGTGGGGTACATGCGGCAGCAGGCCGCGCACTTGTAGCCATTCTGCTGTGCTGGGTGCCACCTGGAAGCCATTAGGATGTCCTGAGATGTGATGGAGTCCAGGCCACGCCTGGATTTCTTGGTGGCTTCTCGAGGACAAGTGTTCTCTGTGGAGGAAGAGGATGAACAGATGCTCTCAGCCATGTCCTCGGAAAGGCAGTTGTCCCACTTGCCCTCATCCTGTTGCACCTCTGGGAAGTCGTAAGCTTCCAGGTGGCTCTCTTTGTCTGCACACACAAAGTAGCTGTAGGGGGAGAACCAGGGCCGGTAGATAGTGCAGTTCCGCCTCAGCTTCTCTCCGTGCTGGGTGTCCCCCAGGCTGCAGTCTGCAAAGGAAAGGACCAGGTCAGAGCCTCTGGCAGGGAGCAGTGGAACCAAGGATGCCAGAGCAGCAAGGCAAGAAGGCAGACATCAGGCATGTCCTCGGTTACCTCCACCCCACCACGATTGCAGTCCTGAGAGCAGACGCAAGATGGTGGGAAGAGCAGCCGAGGGCATTCCTTCTCACTGCATTCTTTTTCTAGGGGTACAGAGGGCCACTGGATCTTGGGATGGGAGAGGCTGCTTTTAGTTAGTAAGCCTTGGTATTTGTCAAGTCCTTCCCTTCCTGGAGACACCATGTCCACTGACTCCTCTAAGGATAGACACAGACAGGTGACCCAGCAGACAGCCAGACCGGCGGCCTCCCATAGTCCTTCTTTTCGCCACCCGTGGCTGTGACCCTTTTTGCAGCCTCACTACCCATCTTGAGGGGTAGCCTCACTACCCTCCACAGCCCACTCAGCCAGAAGCTCTTGCACCAGCTTCAGAGACAGCAGAGGGGAGGCATGGCGAGAGCCCCAGGCCTATGGGTATCTACCAAAGGAAAAAGGGCCAGATAGGAGGCTGCAGGTGACAAGGCCACGCATGGGGGTCCAGCTTCCAGACACCTCTGCTCCCTTAGGGAAGCAGCCCCTATTCATCCTTAGCTTCTCATACATTCCCACCCAGAGTCAGAGAAGGCCTCACCTGGTGAGAGCACTGTGTTTTGTATCCCTTGCCGGACAGTGATGCTTTGGTACTGGGGTGGCAGGGCCTGAGCTGGGCTGGATGCCTCAGTGGGTACCGCTGTCTTTGCAATGTCTGGGTCACAGAAGAAACACTGGTGAGCTGAGCAAGGTTGGGATTCCACTTCCTGGGACTCCCCCAGGCATACCTAGAGGCTCAACCTCTGTACTTCAAGGCATCTCAAAGCTGAAACAGAACAGTGACCTCTCGAACTCAGCCAGGCAGAGCTATTCTGGATGACATCCTGGGGAATTCTGAATGGGGCCATTTCTTTCAGGCCTCAGAAACATCCTCTGCTAAGTGGGATTTATGATGTGGCCCAGATGACACCTCTGTGCCTGGCCTGCCCCTCACCTGACCCTCTTGCATCTCATCACACGGATGACTTCACTCTGCATTGCCAGTCTCCTGGGCATCCTGGGACCCAGAGTCACAGGCCGCAGAGCAATGTTCCATGCCCGCTTTGAGGATTGTCCAGTTGAAATATCTCACACCCACAGTCAGGGTTCCCGTGGACCATCACTGCACGGCACACCCTGGAGTAGCTGCTAACACTTGGACAAAAAGCTGACCTGCCTCAAATCCCAGAAAAAAGCTGTGTTCAGTTTGGGGGACAAATTTATAAATGTCATGGATATAGGCAAATGAATGCTTAGGAGGCCTACTCCACTGAGCAGTACTTCTCCATTTTACTGTGCATAGGGATGCCCTGGGGATCTTGTTAATAATGCAGGCGCTGATTCAATGGGTCTGGGGTGGGAACCCGAGATTCTGCATTTCTAAAAGCTCCCAGACGACGCAGATGTTGCAAGTCTAAGGACCGTATTTTTGAACAGGGAGTCATCAGGGTGTCCAACTTTATTCCAGGGTGTGCTCATCAGTTTACCCTGCTGCTTAGGCTTCTCTGATGGTTTGCTAACTCCAAATCCTCTACAAGCTTGTCAAAACAGAGGTAAAACTAGTTTCTACTCTGTGTAGACATACTACCACCTTGAGATTTCATGCACACTCTAGAGGGGAAAAACTTGGTGATAAGTGGAGGCTGAGGCAGAAGAATCGCTTGAACCCAGGAGGCGGAGGTTGCAGTGGCCAAGATTGCATCATTGCACTCCAGCCTGGTGACAGGAGGGAAACTCTGTCTCAAAAAAAAAAAAAACAAAAGTTTACCCCTTTCTTCCCTTAACAAAAATCAATACACAGCAATAACTACTTACCACAAACTTTTTGAAAAATTATTTTCTCCCCATACGTAATTTGACTTTCTCACTAAACCACGTTACATGGTCCTGTAACATGCTCTGGTAGGGTACTCAATTAAAAGCTTCAAAAAAACCACATCTTTGTGGCCCTAGTGGCACCAGAGTTTACCTGGCAGGCTGGTGGCACGAGAGAACATAATGTCGGGAAAAGCACTCAGGGCGGAGGAAGAGATTGGAGGTCCAGAGATGCTGAGGAGTGAGAAGTTCTCCATATTCTGACCACTGCGGTGTACAGAGATCACACGCCTGCTCTGGAGAGGCAGGCTGGCTGGCTTGTCCAGAGGATAAACATTCTGAGCGCAGTTGATGTCACAAGGCACATGATTCCACTACCCAACTAGGTTACCCTTTGGAAGATGAATGGAGTCTAACTGCAAGCAAGATTAAAATGTGTAAAGATTGTTTTTGACTTGCCATTGCCCAGCGGCAGGCCCTGATTGAGAAGACCCGGAGAGAAGAAAATAGTAGAGATACTATAGTGATGCTGTCTGTTTGTCCCCTTTTATCTTTATTATCGTCATTTTTCTGTGTTCACACTGTCTACCCCCAGCCCTCCAGCCCTGGAAACCTCTGTTCTGTCTGAATAATCTCCTTCCTTTTCTTCTCCTTTATCAGCCTAATCTCTGTCAGCAAATATTTTTATTGTTTTGTTTTAGTTTGTTTTTTGAGGTTTATATATTTTTCACATTTTCTTTGGAAATTCAAATTTATAAAAGTTGCAGAAAAGGCTGGGTGCAGTGGCTCAGGCCTATAATGCCAACACTTTGGGAGGCCAAGGCGGGTGGATCATTTGAGGTCAGGAGTTCAAGACCAGCCAGACAAACATGGTGAAACCCCGTCTACTCAAAATATAAAATTTAGCCGGGCGTGATGGTGGGCACCTGTAATCCCAGCTACTTGGGAGGCTGAGGCAGGAGAATCGCTTGAACCCGGGAGACAGAGGCTTCAGTGAGCCGAGATCGTGCCATTGCACTGCAGCCTGGGTGACAGAGCGAGACTCCGTCTCAAAAGTTGCAAAAATAAAATCAATACAAAGAACACCCATATGCCCTGTATCCAGATTTTCCTATTAACATTTTACCCGATTTGCTGTATCAGTCCCCTTCCTCCTGCCCCCTGCCCCATGTGTATGTGTGTATACTTAATTTTTTCTCTGAACTATTTGAAGGTAAGTTATAAACACTACGTCCTTTTACACCTAAGTACTTCAATGTGTATTTCCTAAGAATAGGGACCAAATATTGGTTTCAGTGGTTGGTGCTCTTTTTAGCGAGTGACTAAAACAAAAATGGGTGACTTAATACTGTTTTGCTCATTGCTTAAGTCAGTTTGATGGGGAGACTCTGGGACTCCAGAGAGGCAAGGTTGCCTCTTCGTTTCACTTGTCCTGTGACAACATTGTGCACTAGCAAGGTGTGGATAAGGTGAAAGATGATTGTGACTCGGAAGATAAACTGAAGGCACCCCTTTCTAGATTATCACGTGTCAACTAGATACAGAACAGGGCTGCAGATCTAAATGGCAGGTATGTTTATGCTGCATGGGGAGCAATGGCCACTCTGGAAATAGTGATGGGCTTCTTTTGAGGTGCTGTCAAGCATGTGTGACTGGAGTGTGAGTTAGCTTCTGCACATGATAGCCCAGAGTTGTCTTCCTGTGTGTATTTATTCACAGTACTGAAACATTCGAAGGACAATGGGAGAACATGATTCCCCTCGTGTTCCTCCCAGATAGCCTGGTTTGGAACATTAACATGTGTTGGAAAGTAAGTTGAAGCCACATACTTTGGCAATTTGGGGGGTATCAGCAATTTCATTTGGTCCATTATGGTGTAGAGAAAGCTCATGAGTCTGGGCATCGGTTTATGTGACTTCTAACCCCACTCCGCCATGAGCTACCTGTGTGATACTGGGCAAACCTCTCTGCTACTTGATTTTCCTATATGATTAGTTTAGACTCTAAACTCGAGTGGATGAATGTCTTCCTGGCTAAAACCCAGTGAGTGGCATGTGGACAGTAGCATACCTGTGAGTGGTGCACACAGGGCCCCGAGGACTTGGAATTGCATTCATTCTGTCTTGACCCATCACATTCCTCCCACTGCCAACTTCAGACTTTCCCACTGGAACCTCAGACTTCATGTAAAGGTGCTCAACATACTGGGGGGAAATATGGAAGGCGGAATCTCTCAGTGCCTGTGTAGACTTTTAAAAATGCGACCCAGTTTTGGTTTAGTCACTGAAAAGTTTGTGGGAGCCTGGTGGTTCCCGGGTGCGCACCACTCTTTGTAGCAGGTCCCCTGTCTTGTGTGCTGTGTCCTCCCGAGGTTTGCTGTTGCTGGTGGCCCAGGTGGTAGGTGACACTCTCAAAGCGATTGGTCACTATGTAAAATGAGTCTTTCTCTTGTTTGCTTCCCACCTGCTTTCCAAGCCCCTTTCTCGGACAGGTAAGATATCCTGTTGTTTTGTGGATGACTTACATTCCCAGATGCCCTCCTCTGCTTGGGTGTGTGCATGTTGGGGGGTGCTGTGGGGAGGGCCACCTGGCTGGGGTCCAGTCATCTCTCTCTCCTCCATTGCCATTATTTTCTGAATCATCAAGCCTGTAGTCCTAAAGCAAGAGAGACAATGTGTGGGGTCATTAGCGTCATCATCAAGAAGGACCCATTGCACGTCCTCAGACACAGGGATAGAGGGACCCCCAGCTAGAGGCCCACTTTCACTTGGAATAGAAGGGCAGTTCTCAAGATCTGACCTCCAGAGCCTCTGAAGACCACTCACATAGAGGGGTTTTTGAGTGGTTTTTATAAATGGAAAAAGACTTGTGGGCAGTTTCCCTGTAGTGTCAGCCCGTCATGCAATTTTTAAGAATTCATGTAAAAGTCAAATTCAATTAAACAAACTTATTAAATGCCTACTATCATGCAAGACCCTAAGGTCGGCATTGTAGAAGATAAAGAAACACTTCAGATGCTGTGGCCCCTCAAGGAGCTTACCATTTTAAGACAAGGTGTATTTACTGGAAAGACTTAGACAAGGGTAAAGGGAGTGCATGGTAGGCTATTTTTACATTACTTGACAATCCAGTGCATTATAGACTATGTTATGAAGGGTAGAGAGCAAAAAATACAGAAAATCTAAAATGGTGCATAATCCAGAGTTACGTTTATTACAAAGAGTGTTTTAAAAATCATAATAGCTTATAATTTACTAATCACCTTGACAGGTGTTTTTGGTGCTTGCTTTTTTGAAAACGAGTATGTCTGCTCTGAAAAGTCACTTTAAACCAGTAAGGAGACCGCCAGAGAAATGTCTGATTTGGGAAGTGGTGGCAATTTTCCTTCCCCAGGCATTTCATACAGTTTCATTGTTGTCTATGTGCTTTCTGGTTTGGGGGAAAATAGTTAAATGGTTTGGTTTCCAAATCTTCTTTGCTAGTTTGCAGATGACATGATTAAAGGAAATAAGACAGATGTGGGACCCGACAGGCAAATTGTGCCAAAGTGGAGGATGTGGCAAGATACACACTTAGGAGAATAATCAGGAGTTGATGACCCTGCTTGCTGTGGAGCGGGCTGGAAGCTTCTGCTGGTGCGGCGGGTCTATCCGGAGCCCAGCCAGCTTGGGCCCTGTGTCCGAGGGATGCTGTCATGCTGTTCCCTGGCAGGCCCTCACCCTGCAGTGGTGAAGGCCACAGGGCTCATCTGCAGAGACTAGTCTCCACTCCTCTTCCCACAGGTTTTCCTCCCTGCCACCCAAAGGCCCTTAGAATATGATGTATCTAGGTAGTCAGCCTAGAAAGGATAGCACCATTCATTCATCTCTAAGAACTGGACAAAGGTGACAGTAAACTATGCGTTTCTTAACCAGCTTCAGTTAGATTAAGCAACCCTCCCTTTACTATCTCTACACAGCCCTCTATCAAATCCATTGATTGTACTTACTGATTTGATTGCAGTGCTATCCCTTCCTGGACTTCAAGGACAGATCTTGGTGCTTGTCCTCCAGGCTCAAAATTGTTTTATTTGGGAAACAACTGGAGAAATCTAAGGATGAACTTTGATAATGTAAAGGAATTGCAATACTGGCATAATCATATAGAAAACTCTTATTATTAAGAGATTTAAACTTAATGACCTTCCAGTCATTCACACAGAGAAAAAGACTTGTTTTCTTGAGATAACAGATATAGTGGCTTTTATTGCATTCTTCTCTCAATTTGTTTTATGTTTAAAAACTGTCATTTCGGCCGGGCGCAGTGGCTCATGCTTGTAACCCCAACACTTTGGGAGGCAAAGACGGGCGGATCACCTAAGATCAGGAGTCCAAAACCAGCCTAGCCAACATGGCGAAACCCATCTCTACTAAAACTACAAAAAATTAGCTGGGCGTGGTGGTGGGCGCCTGTAATCCTAGCCGAGTGAGCCAAGATCACGCCACTGCACTCCAGCCTGAGCAACAGAGTAAGACTCTTGTCCCCCCAAAATAGTAATAGTAATAATAATAATAAATGTTTGTATACTCATTAAAAAAAAAAAAAAAAGGATAGCACCACTGAAACTACAAGAAAGGTTTCCACTGGCCCAGGATGCAGCAGTGCAGGGCAGAAAGAACTGCTTTACACAAAAATTCTGCAGAAGAAAAAGTACACCCTAACCCCAGTTACTCTTAGAAGAGGCTCTGAGAATAGACACTTAGCAGAGGTGTTGACAAGGAAAGGAGCCTAGTGATCAAATGATCACTTCCCTCAGACTGACAACATATCAGGGGTAGTTGGTGTAGACAGAAACCTTGACCCAGGTTCCAAGGCCTCAGAGTGGGTCTGGCTGCCTGATGACTGAGCTGGATTTCCACATAGGGAGAAGATGGCCAAGTGTGAGTGTGTGGACAGCATGGCTTAGAGCCTGGAGCTCCAGTCATTTCAATAACAAACTTTTAAGCTACCACCTTGGCCACCACAATTTTCTATCTACAAAATGGGTTTTGGCGAGTCAAGATCTGTATTGAGCACAGCTGTGTACCAAACTGAGGCTAGGTGTTGAAGATACAAAGATGAATGAGGCGTGGCCTCGGCCTTGTAAATCTTTACAACCTAATGGGTTTATACCCAGCTCTTTGAGTTAATTTTTCAAGCCAAAGAGGATCCCTACGAGAAGGACTATGTACTAGGCATATATAGGCAGCTGTTCCATGATCTGTAGCAGGACAAAGTTGTGGACAGAGCCCTGAGCTGTGGGTTAGAAGGCCTGAGTTCTAGTTCCAGCCCTGCTAGTATTAAACTGTGTGACCTCAGGCACGGCAATGCATTATGTGGAGTCTTGCAGGCTTCATCTGTAGGTAGATATCCTTCCATGCACCACCTCCCTAGATGGTTGTAAGGATTAAGTAAGCTGATGTTCATTAGGATCCTCATGCTTCACTGGCACTGAGTGGGGCTGACCTATCCATTTGGTATGAACTGATTCTGAACCACCACTTAGCATCTCTGCAAGAGCTGGCCCACTCGCTCAAGTCCCACCTCTGTAGACCTGAGGAGCTGCTACCCCATTTTTCGTGGAGAATTTGTGCTATACTCATGGCCTTCAGTGGGGAGCTTCTAACACCAAGCCTCATCCATGCCGTCCCTCCACCAGCTTCCAACCCACTGAGAGCTCAGCACGTGCTTATAGCAATGTAAAAATGTCACGTTTCATTGCTTCATCCTCATTTTTTCTTTACTTCAAAGGGCGTGGTGACTCCAAGGTAAAGGGGCCAAGCCCATGAATCAAGGAGGCAGGTTTACAGGAACAATTTTATTTTTTTATGGCTAGCTTTAGTCACTGATTAACTTGGGTGGGGCAGAGCTAGAATTTCTAGTTCCTCTCCCATCAAGAAAACTGCACTGGGAAGTTCAAGAGTGTCTTTACCGGCTCTCACTTGAATATTTCCAAAGGCTTGGAAGTTACAGGTTTTGGGTGTGGGATAAGAAAAGCTGAATGATAGGGCACAGGTCCCACTCCCTTTTCCTCATCATGTCGCTCTGTCCCCTCTTTGTTCACAGTTGACCACGGCATGTTTGAGAATTTGAACACAGCCCTCACTCCAAAGCTCCAGGCCAGCCGCTCCTTCCCCCACTTGTCCAAGCCCGTGGCCCCCAGCTCTGCCCCTCTGGGCTCTGCTGAGCCTGGGGGGCCAGGACTCTGGGTGGGCAGCAGCCAGCACCTCAAGAACCTGGGCAAAGCCATGGGGGCCAAAGTGAATGACTTCCTACGGAGAAAGGAGCCCTCCAGCCTGGGCAGTGTGGGTGTGACGGAGATCAACAAGACTGCAGAAGCACAGCTGGTCAGTGGGGCTGATGCGGCTCCAGGGGCTTGGCCAGAGGATGAAAGGTGAGCCCCTCACCCGCCCAACATCCATGCCCCTCTGTGAACCCACTTGAAAAAGTACAGGGACAAACTACGGTGTCTCCACAGGAGAACAGCCCCAAGGGAGGGGTGTGAGATTGTCCTGTACTGAAAAGCTGCAGGATCAGGCCACGTTCTCAGGAGCTGGCTTCATCTTCCGCAGCCACAGCTGAAGGTTGCTGAGTGCCTACTATGTCCTCAGCTCTGTGCTGCTGAAGGTTGCTGAGTGTCATGTCCTCAGCACTGTGCTTCAGACTTTGGTTGCACCATTTTGTCTAACTCTCCCAGCAGCCCTGGGAGGTAGATGGTATTTCCATCCTGCAGGTAACTCACGTTCAGACAGGCAAAGTAAACAGCTTGAGGTCACAAAGTTAGTACTTGGCAGAGCTGGATTTGAACCCAAGTATTGTCCAGAAGTTCCCCACGTAGATTCTGATGCCTGGCCATAGCTGAGAACCGCTGCCCTAGACCATTGCTTGTGGAGAAGCCTGCACCTGTCAGATCCCACTAGTGCAGGGCGGGAGAAGCCCCCCATAGCAGCCCTCCTGTTCTTCCCCCTTCTACCAACAGGCTCTTTCCAGGCCTTGTTTTAAACACCTGTGCATCTGAGGTGGGCATGCCCTCCGCAGGTGTTACTCCATGGGTTCTGATTTGACAAGCTTCACCAGTGGTCTCTATCCTGTCTTCTAGAGGCCAGCACCTTGTGCTGCTCTGAACAGTGAGTGAGCATGGACCAGGCCAAAAGCTACTGTTGTGCTGAAGGTGCTGAGACCTACATGCCAAACCAAGAACCAGAGCCCAAGGAGTAGAGCATTCATTGAGTGGGGTGGGTCGAAAGTGCAACTGGAGTTGGAGAAGCAGGATGGCAGGTGGACTGGTGTCTTGCTGTCCTTAAGGCATGTATGTTTATTGTCATTAACCTTACAGATCAGTCCTGCAAGAAGCATTTCCTCGGCTGGATCCTCCACCTCCCATAACCAGAAAGCGAACCCCTCGGGCCCTGAAGACCACCCAGGACATGCTGATTTCATCACAGCCTGTCCTGAGCAGTCTGGAGTATGGGACAGAGCCGTCACCTGGGCAGGCCCAGGACTCTGCTCCCACTGCCCAGCCTGATGTCCCAGCAGATGATTCACAGCCAGAGGCCACCATAGAAAGAGAAGAGAGAGGCGAAGTTCTACCTAATGGAGAGGTTTCCCTGTCAGTACCTGATCTAATCCACAAGGATAGCCAGGACGAATCCAAGCTAAAAATGACTGAGTGCAGAAGGGCCTCCTCCCCCAGCCTCATCGAGAGGAATGGCCTCAAACTCAGCTTGAGCCCCATCAGCCTGGCTGAGTCCTGGGAGGATGGCAGCCCCCCTCCTCAGGGACGGACCTCCAGCCTCGACAATGAGGGCCCTCACCCAGACCTGCTGTCCTTTGAATAGAGCCTCTGCTCTTTCCTGCTGAGCTCTGCCCTTGTCTTCCTGCTGCTTTCTCCTCCACTGCACACACTGACCCTGGCCCCAACTCCACCGTGCCCTTGGACTTCCTCGTATGAGGCACCAGCAGAGAGCCAGTCGTCCATCATGGGATTTTGCAGGACTGGAAGTCCTTGAGTAGTTCTAGTTAAAGAGTCTATCTGCAGAATGGCTAAAGGACTCGATGCCATCTTGAGCCTAAATTTCTGTAACCTCCTCTGAGTGGGCTGCAGCCCTTGGACATTAGAGCTCTTACACTCTTGAGCTTGTCCTGTCTTCTCAGTGAATTGCAGGGCAATGGATCTTGCAGGAATTCTCTTTGCCTGTCCCCTACATGCACCTCCTCCCCTGCTGTTCTCCTTCCCACACCCCGTCCCTTCTCTCTCCTCCTTGATGGGTCTGAGGCCCCTGGCCTCAGCGGGAGCAAGGCTGGATGAGGAATGATGGGTTTGGCTTGATGATAGGCCCTGGCCTGGAAAGCCACACACCCTGACCACAGCCCAGCCATGGCTCCTCTTGGTCCCAGGACAGCGCAGGCCCCTGGTTGCCGTGTTTGCTCTGCCCCTGGGGTGGAGGCCAGAGGAGATGCTTACCAGGCCTGAGACCTTGAGAATTCGCCCAGGGTTCCCAAGGTTTCCCCCATCTGGTCAGATGTCAAATACAAAATGGGGGCATCCTGTACAGAAGGAAAGATGAGGCTTCCTTTGCTGTGTATGTGAAGACAGGAGAGCCAGGCCCCAGCAGATGCAGCCGAGCACACTCTGGTTTTGTTTTGGGGGGAGGGCCCAGGAACTTGGGGGTGGTTTTGGCATTCAGGGCTGAAGCTAAAAACCCAGAGCAGAAGTAGGGAGAAGGGAGTGAGGATGGGACAGAGAAGAGCGATCACTGGGGATCAGAACAGCTTTTCAGGGGCCATCTTGCAACCTAAAATGATGCCATTTCAGGGCCTGGGCCTGCTGTGAGAGCCAGAGTGAAGCGTGTGCAAGATTGGAATGTGAGAAGAACTGAGGGGGGAAACCACTTTTAATTAAGTGGAAGTGCTTTGTGCTTGTGCTGAAGTTACCTGGGCCTCCTGTAGCCCTGGACCTCACTGGAGGGGCCCCGCCCTGCCCATCCCTGCCCTTCTTCTATGCTGATGCTGGTGGGCTATGTCCTGCTTCAGGATCCATGTAAGGGACTGACCAGGTTCATCCAACCTTAACTGGTTCCTGCTCTCCTGGATTAAGCCACTTTTAGGTCTCCCACCAGGGGTCCTATTGTGCTGTCTTCCTGTGGCCAGCAGACCCTGTAAGGGGGTGATCCTAATCCCGGGGCTCTTTGCAGCAAGAGGAGAACATCCCTTTTCTTGAACAAGGTGGCCAGTTCCCTGGGAGAAAGCTGGGAATGGCATGTCCAGCTGGGGCAGGCGTTGCGGCATCCTTCTCCTGGGATTCCTGTGGTCTCCCCTGTTCTATTCATTATTTGGCTTCCCAACCATAAGCTCTGGGATACCCAGGGCTTGCTTCCCAGCTCATCTCATCTCTAAGCCTTCGCTCCCCTTCCCACCACCACTGCTATGTAAAATGGCCATGCTAACTCCTACAGAACTAGGAGCCTCAGCAGGATTGCTAGGATGTGGGTGCCTTCCTGCATTCTTGCTTCTGCAGCTGTGTGGCCTTCCCACAGCCCTCCCACCACTTTCCCTTCTACCTTGCCTTCCATTGTCTTCCTTCTCCCAGAAAGCCAGGTTTCAACACGTGCTTACCACTAGCTCTCTCCCTTCCCTCGTGGGGGTTGCTGCAGCAAGGCACCTGCAGGCCCTGGTAGAGTGAGCAGGGCTTATGTGTACGTTCTTTACGTGTACATCTCCAAGGATGTGATGTCTGACTGTGATGTCAGAGAGGAGGTCTCAGGACTAGCATTTGGGGTCCTGTGAGTTTTCCCAGAATGGTTTGGGGGTATCACACAAAACACCAGAGCTGAGGATAGGGGTAGAGTCCCCAAACACACATCCTGGGAGCAAGCCACTTCATCTGAGTTTCCCATACCAGGAACATGATTTGTGCTTTGGTGGGAAACTTAGCAAGTCCCTGCACTCTGGGGCTTCTCCTCTTCTAGAGCCCAGGGCGGCTCTGGCCCGATGATATGGCAGCCATATGTACAGGTATTGCAGGTGCAGTCTTTCTTAAGTACCCTGCCCTGCCTTCACTCTATAGCCCAGCTGTTGCTAGAGTCCAGGACCTTAGACCCAGGATGAGCAAAAGGACTCCACCAGGTTGTCCAGAACCATTGCCAGGGTGACCCCAGATTTCTTCAGACTTCTGTCTGATACTGAACACAGTGCCACGGGACCCTGCTCCAATCTAACTGCCTACAACCCGCCCATCCCCCTGCTGCAGGGGTGACACTGCTACCTCGGGAGGCTCTCTTGAGAGTGGTGTCTGGTCTTAGATGCTGCAGATAGTACCTGGTGCTAGGGTCTACGTGCTGCCCAAAGCCCAGCAGGATCAGCTACTACTCATCCTGCAGAGGCCTTGGCCCAGACCAGCTCTTCCATCCAAAGTCTCACCTGGTTTCCGTGTTCATCTCAACAGTCTGGCCTTCCTGTGACTGCAGCCTGGCAGCCACACCCCCAGTAATCCCACACAGTGAGTCCAGCTTCTCTGGGAGCTTGGCCTTCAGTTAGCCCAGTCCATGAGAGGGCAGGGTAATGAGGAGGAGTGAAGGACCTATCTTCTCTGTCCACATAAGGAATTTGGGACCACAGGGTCTTTTATCTCCTTGTTACTCCCCAACCCCATCATAACCTCCTACTCAGCACACAGCTTTATCCTGGTAGATTATAAGGTGAGCTTCCAGAACCTGGCAGGAGGCTGGTGTATCCCCCTGCACGGAGGGAGGTGTATCTGAATGTTGTGTATGTGGCTGATATGGAAGACATACATGTATGCAATCAATCAGCCTTTAAAGAAGACTGGCTGCAGTTTGGAGGAGGAGGAGGAAGATTACAGATCTATTCTGAGTATTTTTTAGAGAGTTAATATTTATATTTTTAGTAATTTTCTGGTAGAAGGAAATTGCACAATAAAATGATTTGGTTTGGTTTGCTGGCTTTGTCTGTTTGATTTTCCTCCTGACTGATGGGGAGCAGTTGGTTTCCTCAAGTCTGACTTGTTGGGTGGAGGGCACTGGCATTTTCCTTTGTAAGCCTGGAAAAGTGGGAAATGAGGGAGGTAGAATGTGAGGAAGATGGGCACTACTGACACCTCCAGCCTGAACCCTTGGCGGGGAAATGGCTTCTGAGGATGTGCCATCATTAGCTCCCCTGGCTGACCACTGTGAGGGGGTACCTCTGTCGAACCGACCTATCACTGTCTCAGGGGTGCTATCATGATGTGCACAGGCAGGACCCTCTTTGGGAGGAAGTAGGGGGAAGTGGACATGGGCATCTGATCATCCTCTAGGGTACTCATTCTTTACCTGGGTCCAAAACCCTCTTCCACCAAGAAAGGGATGGAGCTTCGCATTTCTGTGTGCACCTTCTTCCAGAGAGGGACGGGAGCTTCTATCAGCCTCTCAAAGAGAGTCATCAATACATGTCAGTGATTTGGACTTAGGTACTTCCTGGGAAATTGTCCCCAAGGACCCCCCTGGACAGGGACATTCTTGATGCTCACCTGCGGAGAGAAGGTGGCTCAGAGAAGAGCTGGCCTGGAGTCCTTTTGCCCCATTGCTGCCCCTAGGCCAGTGTCAGATCCAAGGACCCAGAGGACCCACACAGCTGAGTATTGGCCAGGCCTTTATCCTGCTTAAAAAGGAAGGAAATGGGGAAGAAACAGGAAGGGAAAGGGGTGTTCAGTCTGTTCACAGAAGCCACGCAGATTTCCAAAGGGAAACATGGGACCTTTCTGCGCAGCCCTCTCGTGCAGATGTGACGATGCCTGGGGTTGGATTCCACAGTTCCACATGCAGGGGCTCCCTGGCTCCATATCAGAGGCATCTCAGGCCTGAGGCTAAGTCCCTAATGTTTTCTGCATCTTGTTCCACTCAGCGGAGGGGCAAGAAAAGAACAGCTGGGCTCTCAAAGGTTGCTCGCTGTCTCTGCAGTGGGGTGCAGCGTTATTGTCCAGGGAAAGCAGGAAAAACACAGAAAGCAATCTTCCATGTTTTGGGAAAAGGCATTGAAAATACTTACAGTAGCAACTTTTTTCTTTATGAGTATGCTGCGGCGACTCCAGACGACCTCTCCCATTGAATGGCTTCAGTATCTTGCCGCAGTCATTCAGTTGTGAAATGTGCTTTTAACATGCCTTTCCCACTATTATGTGAAGTCGTTATTTTTGTCTAAGATCAAATATAAACAGTTCTAGTATAAAAAAATTTTTAAGGAAATTTTAAGTGTAAAAATGGAAGTGCATATGTCATGTTTTTTAATGCTGTGCTCTACGCTGAGCCACTGTTCTAGAATCTGGGGGACAAAGATGCATTTATTCAGACAATATATCCAAGCCCCTTCCTGCCATGCACTGAGTGCTCTCTAGGGGACTGTGGTGACATTGGTGGAAAAGTGACACGCAGCCCTCTTTCTCCATTCTGAATGGATGGGGACACCATCATACCTGCCCTCCCGGGCACTATGCTGACAGGGTATGTGATCAGGATGTGAAATGCAGTGGAAGCACCACCAAAGCGGGGCTCAGGATGAGGCAATTAATTTCAGCCGAGAGAGTACTCATTTCCTCTGGACTAAATCTGCTGGTAGTAAGTAGTTGCCGAAGGAAACACACTAAGAGGCCATCAGGAGACCCACCTCATTCCGTACGTCTGTGCCTATGCTGGCAGGGACCCTAGTTGGTATTCAGAATTTTTATGAAATTAGTGGACCCGGAAATGTACTCAGATGCTAGCCTAATCTCGGAAAATTCCTGCTGGGTCAGTTTAATCTGCTCTCAGATTTCACAATGCCTTTGAGGTCAGTGAATCCTGGGAGTGTTCTAGAACTCTCTGTGCTTGGAATCCCTGTCCTCTCTCTGCTCCCCTCCCCACAGTGCGGAGTTTCCCAGGCCAGCCTAGTTGTGGTGGCAAACTCAGTGATGGCTTCTCTGAGATTTTGGCCCTCAGAGTGCCCCGGGCTTCAGTCGCTCAGTTTGCTGCCCTGGTTTGGGACATTCAGCCTGGAGCCTCCCACTGTGGCCCCTCTGTGAGTGGGAACAAGTAATTAAGTCCATATAGCCCTCGTAGAGAGGCTCCTACTCCCCCTTGGAAAGCTTCATCAGTGCTGATGGCATTTAATACCTTTCATCTCTCCCAAGGAAATCCACTCTGGAAGCTTTAAGTTGTCCAGTGAAAGCATCTTCAAGTACATCTCCCCTCCAGGATGCCCCCTCTCTGCTACTGTTTGCACTGGGGGCACAGGATGAAAGCCCAGAGTCCCCACCACTGACTTCCTCCTAATGAGAAAATTCCTCCACTTTCTGTATCTAGGAACCAGCTCTCCTGACACACAATTCCTCTTTGTGTCCAGCTTATCTCCAGCTGCTGCCATGATAAATAGTCCAACCCAAGGGAGCCTGGGGAAGCTACCCCACAAAACGAATCACTTGGCTATTAACAACACAGACGAGGAATCAAGCTTGAGGAAATATTTAAGGACCACCTCAGACTCCAGACTGTATTCTCCTTCGTGTGAGTTGCCTGAGGAATCTGTTGGTTATATAGAGCAGGGAACATTGCCAGTGTGTTCTTTGGAATTGACCAAAACAAAACAAAAAACCCCAAACAGAGAGCAACCTCCCAACACACCGCAACGTTTTTTTTTTTTTTTTTTTTTTTTTTTACTGTTTAACCAGCCAGCTGTTTCCAGTGCCATCTGCTTAGCTACCTATTTCCTGAATCATCCCTCCATGTCTGCCGCCACCTGCTTTCTAGGCTTGCGTTTATTGGGGAATTCTTGTTGACTTGGTCTGATGTTCAAGCACATCCCAGTGTTCAGCCCGCTTCAGGGGCTAACTCACAGCGACTTAGAACAATTCCCTGTGGTTGCCACAGGAGCGCTTTGAGTTGGTCCAGGTCTTCACGGAGCAGGACAAAGGGGCAGGAGAAAAGTGAACTGTCAGCCCTGGGAACGGTTTGCAGCTTCAGCAAGATGCATGCCCCCTCTTTATCCTGAGCCTGCAATGGATGGACCCCCCTTGCTGGATAGGAAAGGTCAGGACAAGTGTGGACTGCTCCTGTTGTTTTGCCTTCCCACCATTTCCTGGTACTTGTTAAATTCTGTTGCAACCAGCTTTCTTTGCTCGGCTTAAATCCTGGGTCCTATGTGTCAGGAAGTCTTTGCCTCTGACCTGGCAAGTACTCTTTAGACCTGGCCAACGTGTGACATTTCTAGGAACTGGGCCTCCTGGAGAGGCCATGTAGGCCGTCTAGGAAGTGATTTCACGTGTAAGAAAGCTGGAGGGGGAGGTGGGGATGGCAGTGTTGTCCATGCCTCTCCCTACCCCTCCCCGAACCCCTTAATCATCAGTTAGTGACTATGTAAGTGGCACATGCTGTGACCAGGCCCCAGGACACTTGCTGAGACCCATGTGGGGGAGGTGTCAGGTGGGTCCTCTGTGCTCTAGATTATCTGCGGTTGGCCCGCCTGCCTCGCTGGTGGCATCCACCACTGCGGCCTCTGTGCTGCACTTCCCTCAGAGCCCCAGCCTGCTCCGAATTGCTTCCATGCCTGTGTTTAAGATGGTCCATCTGCCCGGGTCACCTTTCTACCGTCCTTTCCCTTTCCTCTGACTTCACCAGGCTATGTTAAGTCATCCCTCACATTTTCACTCAGGCATCCCTTCCTCCAGGTGGCTTCCCGGACACCACCCCACCCCTTCTCTGCATTCCCGTAGCATCCTATGTGTTCCTCCATCACGGCACTCGCCATGTGTCATAGAAAGTCGCTTCCTCATCGTGCCTCTCTCCCACAGGTCTCTGAGCTCAGGGGCAGGGTCCATGCCATCTTCATCCCTAACTCCTCGGTTCCCAGCAGCGTCTGGCATATTGCAGGAGCTCAATAAAGATGCACTTTGGATGAAACTAGACTCAGGAAACTTGCAGTTGAATTTGTGTGGAACAGACTACATGGGCTCTGGGTTAGACCAGCAGGAATCTTTCAGTTCCTCTTCCTCAGGATCTCTATCCGCAGGCAGCCTCTGTACGTGATCATCAACTCCACAGAGAAGGATTGAGGGTGACCATTTTCAAAATGGAAAGTGATTAATGGGCCAATGTGAAGCTCATTTATCTGCAGCCGGAGGCTTCATTCACTCTATTCCTTGGACTGGTGCCACCTTGCCGTGGAGCTGGTAGAAGCAAGCACTTATATCCAGCATAATGCAAGAAGGGCTGTGCTTCAGTGCCAGGCACCTGTCTATCTCTGGGAGCTGCCTACAGGGCTCTGAGTTCCAATTCTTAACATTCTACTTCACTGTGGTAGGCCTTAATTGGTGCTTTATCATTCTCTGAAGCTTCTGTATACTCCAGGAATTGTGTTAATCAATTTATACACATGGTCTCATTTGTTTTTCTCATAGGCCTCTAAGGGAGAAGCCCATTTTCCAGATACGGATGTTATTCTATCGTGCTTAAAGAGATTCACACACAGGATCTCATGAACCCTATCTTGTGAGGGCGGTATTTCAGCCCTGTCTTACGAAGAGGTAAACGGAGGTAAACAAGGGTAAACTGAGACTGAGATGATGACTAAGCCAGCTGCCTGGGAAGCCAGGCAGAACTCTCTGGGAAGGCCTAGGTCCTCAGGCCCGAGGACCAGCCACCCTCCCGCACTGTACGGCTCTTCTCTATCTCCATCGCGCCGGTCTGATAAATAATTCCAGGAAACATTCATGGCTCAGAAACATCTTTTTAGGTTAGATCTTCTCCAAGGACTAATACAATTTCATTAAACACTGCACATTCATATGGGATGGGAATTTAAACACCCATTCCACAGTCCCCGCATTTTACAAAAGAGGAAACAACAAAGACTGCATTGTTAACACGTGAACCTGGGCTGGCGTCATCTCAGTGAAGCCCCACAGTGACTTTATGTGGTAAGTCATTATCC